CATCGTATCTAGTTGCAATTTTCTTCTTCTATCCCAGCACATAACGGCTTTGTGTGTGGGACCTTCACCTCTGGTAGATGCAGGTCGACACACTAGTGGTTGCTGATAGTTCTTCTTTCAGAGGTTGAGTGTCTCTGATTGACTACTGAGCTCTCCCATCATGGCCGGAACTCGGCCAATGTCCAACCGTTGGACCCTACTGCTGTCCTTGGTGATCCTACTCGGATGCCTTGTCATCCCCGGAGGTAAGCCTATCCAATCATGCACCCATCGGTTAGACTCGCCTTGACATCTAACAACGCCGCATAGTCACCGTGAAACACGAGAACTTCAAGACATGTTCTCAATCGGGCTTCTGTAAGCGGAACAGAGCACTCGCCGACGATGCTTCCGCCCAAGGTCCATCCTGGACTTCCCCCTACGAGCTCGACTCATCCTCTATTCAATTCAAAGATGGCCAATTGCACGGAACCATTCTCAAATCCGTCTCCGCCAACGAGAAAGTTAAGCTGCCTCTTGTTGTCTCCTTCCTCGAGTCCGGCGCCGCCCGAGTTGTTGTCGATGAGGAGAAGCGATTGAACGGCGACATCCAGCTTCGACACGATAGCAAAGCACGCAAGGAACGCTACAATGAGGCTGGAAAATGGGTGTTGGTGGGTGGCTTGGAGTTGAGCAAAACCGCGACCTTGAAACCTGAAACCGAGACTGGCTTCACCAGAGTCTTGTACGGTCCGGATAACCAGTTCGAGGCTGTCATCCGCCACGCCCCTTTTAGCGCCGACTTTAAGAGGGACGGCCAGACCCACGTTCAATTGAACAACAAGGGCTACCTGAACATGGAGCATTGGCGCCCTAAGGTAGAGGTCGAAGGTGAGGGCGAGCAGCAAACCCAGGAAGATGAAAGCACTTGGTGGGACGAGAGCTTTGGTGGCAACACCGACACCAAGCCCAGAGGCCCCGAGAGTGTGGGATTGGACATCACCTTCCCCGGCTACAAGCATGTTTTCGGTATTCCTGAACATGCTGACTCTCTCTCCTTGAAGGAAACTCGGTAAGCTACTCGCGCAGTGACAATTTCGAGCTCGCAAAACTAACAGCGTCCCAGAGCTGGTGAAGGGAATCACGAAGAGCCCTACCGCATGTACAATGCGGATGTGTTCGAGTACGAGCTGAACAGTCCCATGACCTTGTATGGTGCGATTCCGTTCATGCAGGCGCATCGCAAGGACTCCACCGTCGGTGTCTTCTGGCTGAATGCTGCAGAGACCTGGGTGGATATTGTCAAGTCTACCTCATCTCCTAATCCTCTTGCTCTCGGCGTGGGCGCCACCACTGACACCCAGAGTCATTGGTTTTCGGAGTCCGGTCAGCTCGATGTTTTCGTTTTCCTTGGTCCTACCCCCCAGGAAATCAGCAAGACCTACGGTGAACTCACCGGCTACACTCAGTTGCCTCAACAGTTTGCAATTGCCTATCACCAGTGCCGCTGGAACTACATCACTGATGAGGATGTCAAGGAAGTCGATCGCAACTTTGACAAGTACCAGATCCCCTACGATGTCATCTGGCTGGACATCGAGTATACCGATGACAGAAAGTATTTCACCTGGGATCCTCTGACTTTCCCTGATCCGATCAGCATGGAGGAGCAGCTTGATGAGTCGGAGCGCAAACTCGTCGTTATCATTGACCCGCACATCAAGAACCAGGACAAGTACAGCATCTCCCAAGAAATGACGAGCAAGGACTTGGCCACTAAGAACAAGGACGGTGAGATCTACGACGGTTGGTGTTGGCCCGGCTCTTCTCACTGGATCGATACCTTCAACCCCGCCGCGATCAAGTGGTGGATCAGCCTCTTCAAGTTTGACAAGTTCAAGGGAACGCTGTCCAACGTCTTCATTTGGAACGATATGAACGAGCCCTCGGTGTTCAACGGTCCCGAAACCACGATGCCCAAGGATAACCTTCATCATGGCAACTGGGAGCACCGTGACATCCACAACGTTCATGGAATCACCCTTGTCAACGCCACCTACGATGCTCTTCTGGAGCGCAAGAAGGGCGAGGTCCGTCGGCCTTTCATCCTGACGCGGTCGTATTATGCGGGCGCTCAACGGATGTCTGCTATGTGGACGGGTGATAACCAGGCTACTTGGGAACACTTGGCCGCTTCCATCCCTATGGTCCTGAACAACGGTATTGCAGGCTTCCCCTTTGCCGGTGCTGATGTGGGTGGTTTCTTCCACAACCCTAGCAAGGAGCTTTTGACCAGATGGTATCAAGCTGGTATTTGGTACCCCTTCTTCCGTGCCCACGCGCATATCGATACACGCCGGAGGGAGCCGTATCTGATTGCCGAGCCACACCGGTCTATCATCTCCCAGGCCATCCGCCTGAGATATCAGCTTCTCCCCGCCTGGTACACCGCTTTCCACGAAGCTTCCGTGAACGGAATGCCGATAGTGCGGCCGCAGTACTATGCTCATCCCACGGATGAGGCTGGCTTTGCCATCGATGACCAGCTTTATCTCGGCTCCACCGGTCTTCTTGCTAAGCCCGTTGTCTCGGAGGAGGCCACCACGGCAGACATCTACCTTGCTGACGACGAAAAGTACTATGACTACTTTGACTACACTGTTTACCAGGGAGCCGGAAAGAGGCATACGGTGCCAGCTCCCATGGAGACTGTGCCGTTGCTGATGCAAGGTGGCCATGTTATCCCCCGCAAGGACCGTCCTCGCCGCAGTAGCGCGTTGATGAGATGGGACCCGTATACTCTTGTTGTGGTCTTGGATAAGAACGGCCAAGCTGATGGCTCTCTTTACGTGGATGACGGAGAGACGTTCGACTACGAGCGTGGAGCCTACATCCACCGTCGGTTCCGCTTCCAGGAGTCTGCTCTAGTCTCGGAGGATGTTGGCACCAAGGGCCCCAAGACGGCCGAGTACCTGAAGACCATGGCCAACGTTCGTGTTGAGCGAGTGGTGGTGGTTGATCCTCCCAAGGAATGGCAAGGTAAGACCAGTGTGACTGTCATTGAGGATGGAGCTTCCGCGGCTTCAACGGCCCCTATGCAGTACCACAGCCAGTCTGATGGCAAGGCTGCATATGCGGTGGTGAAGAACCCCAACGTGGGCATTGGCAAGACATGGCGGATTGAGTTCTAGACTAGACGGGGATGTGGAAAAGAGGAGCCATACATATATGCAATAGGTTCGTATATCAGGCATCAATGGTATTCATTTATGACGCTTTCAGATGCCCTTACATCCTAGTTGAGTACTTTTTGTAGTAGTCCATAGACTAGCAGTGTAGTGAAAGGATGGAACCCCAACCCCAAAGAGGAAAAAGGAAAGGCGCCTCCCGGAGTGGGGCTGAGTCAGCGCCAGGGACGTGGCCGCCGATCAATAAATTTAATTGATGGAGTCCCAAATCTGGCGGGAAGAAAAAAAGAGGCCGCATTCGGGTCGCTTTTGGCATTGAACTTTCTTAAAGACTGGTCGGCACGGAGTTCCTGGGCTTTCGGCATCACACATTTTCTACCAATTTACCATTGTGGAGGTCTCTCGTCCTTGCCAACAGCTTGCGTTCTCATTCCGAACTCAGCATCTCCACAAGCTTTGCCCCTGACGCCGCTGCTGCTCCGTCGCAGTCTCCGGAAACCGCAAGCTCCGCCCGTTCACTGCCCGTCGTCGACACAAAACCGACCGAGCAATCGCTCCTCAACCACCGTAACATCTTTCTATTCCCGTTATACGTTTGCTACGAGGAAAGCGACGGGTAATTGAGTTCACGATGTATCTTGTGTCACAAGCCCTGGAATATGGGGCTCCCCTCTTGTACGTCTTTCGCTCTGATGGACGCATCGCAATGGAACGCTAACTGGCCGCTCGAATTCAACAGCCTCATTACCTCCCCAGTGACTTCCTATGCGGACCAGATTCTCAGTATTCACCGGTCTAGGAGTTCCGCTGGTTTTTCGCTGGATATCCCTTTGATTATGCTCGTCGCGTCCGTCCTGAAGTAAGGCTGCCAATTCAAGAATTGCTGTCCTTCGAGAGTCTCGGTGTTAACAACTTTCGCTAGGATCTTCTACTGGTTCGGCGCTCTCTACTCTTTTTCGCTTCTGATCCAGGCCGTTATCACGGTCGGGGTGCAGGTAGTCTTGTTGAAGGTTGCATTGGACAATCGGCCATCGCCCGGGCTGAAGAACAGCGTTGAACATGTTCCGTTCAGCAGTGTGGACAATGGTGGATTTGCGAGACCCTACGATTTCTGGCAGTGGAAGAGCGCGAAACCGTACGTCTATTCTTTTCTCTCCTTCCAAGGAGACCATTCTATTGCGGTGAAAACTAACCAGAGTCGTCGATAGTTACTGGATGTTCTTGGCATATTTCGTCGGCGCGCTCACCTTCATCCAGGTCCTCCTGCCTCCGCTTGCCAACTCGGAATCTTACATCGGTCTTCTCGGATACGTCGGACTCGCCGTAGAAGCCACGCTGCCTCTTCCCCAGATTTTCAAGAACCACAAGTCCCGTTCGTGCGCAGGATTCCGGCTCTCGGTGCTCGCAGCTTGGATTATCGGTGATATCATGAAGCTGAGTTACTTCTTCTGCAGCCAGGAGGTGATCCCCTGGGCCTTCCGGATGTGTGGTCTCTTCCAGTGTGTTTGCGACCTGTACTTGGGCGTGCAGTTTTGGATGTACAGTGGTGCCTCGTTCCGGACTGCGGGCAGTCCTCGGGGACCTAGTGAGAGCTTTAATGTGGAGGAGAAGGACATCCGAATGACTTGAACGAGATTAGATACGACCGTGGGGTTTCCGTTGCTTTCCGTTGGCGTTGTACATAAAGCATACTAGCTATTAGACACGTCGGACCTTGAGTTGGGTTCGGCGTCCGGGGGTCATCCGACCTGTTATCAATTCAATTAGGCATAATGTGATGTGATTAGACACTCAATGAAGCTCCTGCTACCAATCATGGTCAGTAACACCTCTATCCAATGCAGTCTTTCGCATGATCATCAATCAGATTGGTGGGCAGTAAAATGACGTGAGGAGACTTTTATTGCCGCGGGGTAACTTCAAGGGACCCGGAGGAACCCCACCAGCAACTACTCGTTAGTTCAACTCCATCTCCGCCTGTTCAGCAGAATGATCCTCCCTAGTATCTTCCAACCGACTACCTTGTGTCTGTTGCTCCATCCAGATTCACCATGGCTTCAGATCTAGAGACCATCCGCATTGGCTATGTGCCTGGTACAGTCCAACTTTCTTCCCTCAACCTTACACTGCTGTATATAATCACCTCAGTTGTGCAACATGGACAGCTTCCGCTTCTCCAAGCTTCTATCTATTGACTGACAGCTAACAATGACATTCCTTTCTAGAACACTACCTTACGCCTCTCCACCTGGCGCTGCGCTCCCCAGCCCTGGCTGCTCTCCCATTCAAGCTCTCTCTGATTCCCTTCCCCTCTGGAACGGGACACATGATCACTTCTCTGCGCGAGAAGGAAATCGATGTCGCCATTGGCTTGACTGAGGGATGGGTAGCTGGTCTAGCTGGTAAACAGCAGGCCCAGAAGGACCCCTCGGAGGATGGCTACAAGGTGATCGGACACTGGGTCGATACGCCTTTGCGCTGGGCCATTGTCACAGGTCGGGAGAGAGAAGATATCCACACGGTGGCTGATCTCAAGGACAAGCGCGTTGGTGTCAGTCGTCTCGGAAGGTAAGGCCAACCCGCAGAATAAATTGGCATGCATCATACTGACGCGAAGCAGTGGCTCCCACATCATGTCTTTCGTCCTCGCTCAGAAGCAAGGCTGGAAGCCTGACTCGCTGTCCACTGTGCCCTTGGGCCCCTTCGCTGCTCTCCGCAATGGAGTGACCGGATACGATTCGGAGCATCCCGAGCAGGAGCCGAAGCCCACGGCCGAGTTCTTCATGTGGGAGCACTTCACCACGAAGCCGTATTTCCATCCCACTGAAGAGAAGCCTCATCCCGCCTTGAAGAAGATCGGTGAGATCTACACTCCCTGGCCGTCTTGGATGATCGTGGCGTCTACTTCATCTTTCTCGGATCTGGAAGCGGATGGCAAGCTGCAACAGCTGCTCAAGCTTCTGGATCAGGGCATTAAGGACTTTGAAGCCGACACTGCTCAGGTCGTAAAGCTCTTGGGTACTGGGGAGCTGGGCTGTAACTACGGAGAGGAAGATGCTAAGGAATGGCTCAAGGATGTCAAGTTCACAAACTCGACTCGGGGTGTGCAGAGGAAGCTTGTTGAAGGTGTGGTGGACGTTCTCAAAGTGGCAGGAGTGATTGACAACAGCATGACCAATGATGAGGCCGTCGCAAGGGTCATTGGCATCCATCAATGAAAGCTATGAAATACCCAGGCCCCCACCATCAACGGCGGCAAACCTAGGCATCTGTGTGCAATGTCCCATAGCCGGGCACCTTTGTGTTCGTTATGTTTATTATGATCTCTCAAGTTACTGGCTTCGGCAGAAATTGGATAACTTGGACAAGCAATTGATTTCTGAATGATTAAACCGAGGGCATTTTCGACCGGCGATCTTAATATGCTCGTCATCCCTCTGATAACCTTGCACCTCGTGCACTGGGCTTCACTCCGCGGCATATAGTCCGATCATTACCAGGGCCGATTGATAGACAACATAGTATGCGGGATTATTTTGCCTTCGGCCAACTTTTGTTGGGCTGATTGACCGAAAACATGTACCGTGGGTAACTGATAAACCGGGCCGATGAGGAGTACATGCCTTCATCACCAGGACGACTCCCACATTCCTGGGGTCATAAGTGGATATCTGGCAGGAGCCAAGAATAGCATCTGAATGACGATTCATATATGATGCATGATCTGACGGCCATGGTCAACAGATCACCTTTGGGCATGAGAGCACCAAAAGTCAGAGCCACGATGATCAGGAGACAATGGTCATCCAGTTGGTGTATTTGGTTCTAGAAATCATCATCTGCGTCAGACGGAACGTCCCAGATTCCAGGGGCAGGTGTAGTTGGCTACCTCTCAACACACGTACAACTGCCGGTTACAGTTGTCGGTCCCGGAGAGATGAAGCCACGGCGGTTATGTCTCACTCAATACTTCGATTTTCCACCTACTCCTTGCAGACTCCCATGGCAGCTATAAAGTTTATTAATATATGCCCGCGGCCAAGCTGTCAAATGGGGCTCGACTGGTATCCTAACGATTATCGATGCGCCGCCGCGCTACAATGAACGGGCTAGCAGGCTTCATCCCAACCATGATTGAACCATTATTGCACCTGACTGGGTACGCAAGCTACGATTTTCATGGCCGCGTAAGTGATCATGGGAAGAGAAGCTTGCCCTGGGCTCTGTTCATCACAAGCTGGGGTCCGTAAAAGGGAATGGCATTCCACGGGCCGCCCAAGGCATTGACAACAAACCATCCTGGAATGTATCTCGGTTGGTTCCCTGCCAATCATAGTTTCGATGAACTTGAGAAAAACATGCTCTGTCTTGCAGTCTAGGAGCGCCCACTTGAATATGACAATCTGGGGGCCTGGGTTGTTGGCCGGCTTCGTGAGAAGAGACTACTATCTGGAATGTCTGACCCCAGACAACGGATGACAAGAACTCGGTCCAAGCTTGTTTTCCAACACAACACAACAGGCTTACAGTTAGCCTGGAGAAGACATAAAAGCCGCGACATGAACGGCCATAAGCTGGCTTCGTGATAGCAGCTCGACTCCATTTCGACAACCGTTCGGCACCGGCAACTTGGGCATCATCGACTGGTCATCCGCCCTCCCCATCGTTGAGGTAGTAGATCGTTCCTTCAGCACACTCCTTTGAAAAGATTTCAGTCATTCCTTGATAAAGAGACCAACTCTCCATTCCCTCCTTACACCATGACGCTCCTTACAAATATTCTTGCCTTTTCGATGGGGCTGGCTTCTCTGGGAGGAGCATACGCCAAGCTCGACTTGTCTTCTTCTAACAATGTGGTTGTATACTGGGGTGAGTATCGCGACATATGTCAGAATTTGGCAGTAGTTGACATGCCTACGACCAGGCCAAAATTCCTATGCAGGAACCGGAAGCTTAGCCCAGCAAAACCTGGGTTATTACTGCGATGGTAAGTGTTTCGCATTCACGGTGGAAGAAGTTGCGCTAACTCGGACTCTAGACAGCAATATTGATGTAAGATCAAGCTTCGATTAGAAAAGTTCTCTAATGGATGCTAACCATTTTCAAGGTCATTGTCCTTGCGTTTGTGATGAACGTGAACGGACCTGGAGGAGCACCGGCATATGACTTTTCGCTCACTAGTAAGAACTGCACATTGTTCGAAGGCACCAACTTGCCGAACTGTCCCCAAATTGGGTATGCGCCATATTGCCGTGTTTGGAGGCAGCAGAGCTAATTCAATGATGCAGCGCCGATATCACCACGTGCCAGAAGAAGGGGAAGACCATTATCCTGTCAATTGGCGGTGCGACGTACAGTGAAGGTGGATTCCAGTCGCAATCTGCTGCCCAGTCCGGTGCCGACCTGATCTGGCAGACGTTCGGCCCCCAGCAGTCCAACTCGACGGCTCATCGGCCCTTTGGCAACGCATCGGTGGACGGATTTGATTTCGATTTCGAGGCCACTGTGAATAACATGGCACCATTCGCGAACCGACTCCGTCAACTTTCCGATGCCGAACCCTCAAAACAGTACTTCCTGACGGCAGCGCCGCAGTGCCCTTACCCGGATCTTGCAGACCAGCAGATCCTCAACGGACCAGTGTCGATTGATGCCGTCTGGGTCCAGTTCTACAACAACCCCTGCGGCTTGGGCTCTTTTGTTCAGGGCCAAAGCACGCAGTCGACCTTCAACTTTAATCAGTGGGACAACTGGGCCAAGAACGTGTCTCAGAACCCGAATGTGCGAGTGATGCTCGGCGTTCCGGCGAATACCGGGGCAGCCGGCTCGGGCTATGTGCCAGTCTCGCAGCTGCAGTCGATTATTCAGTATACCAAGACGTTCAAGAGCTTTGGCGGCGTGATGATGTGGGATGTCACGCAGGCGTACGCCAACTCGGGCTTTTTGAGTGGCGTCCGCAGTGCTCTGGGGCAAACTGCCTCGCGGGTGTTCGGAACTCCATACCGCTACCCCCTGCACTTGTGGGGTCCTGAGTCCAACACTAACTGGAAGAAATGATTGATTTTATGATGATACCCCTTGTAGGAGTGAGTGTGTGTATGTGAGTGTGTTTGAGAGAATTTAATATGAGGGAGGAGATGAAGTGGCGACAGGAAGCTGGTGGCGTGGATGTGTTGTTCCACAGGGTTGCTGGGATATCATCCTAGTGGAGCTGTATATACCCTTTCGGTACATCTATCTTATTCAAATCTAATGATTAATTAATATATTCTGCTGAGCTGGTTTGAGGTGGTTATGAGCTGCAGGCCGACTCTTGGCCCCGTGACTGTTGAGTGTCTGTCGTGGCATATTTTCTTCTCCCTTCCATCTTCCCTCCCCTTGCCCTCTCGTCCATCCACATTCTTCATCTTGTCTGCCACCACTCCTTTGACTTTATTTACCTCGTGCAGGGTCCAGCGCCATCACCAACACCAGCACCAGCACCAGCAAGCAATCTTCCTCACGCCCCGCCCATCTGGCCCCTCATCACCTTGCATGCACTATTGAATCCCAGCCCTGCCGATCGAATTCCGCTGTCTTGGCAGCATCCATCCGGGATTTGCAGCCACGCAGTCATCGACTCTTATTCGGCAGGTCAATCAGGGTCTTTCCAACCATATTCTCAATAATCTTCTCTTTACCTTGGCATGGCGGGTCACGAACTGGCCTGGCACGGAATCGATCGTGTCGATCGCCTTCAGCTGCTCCACCAGCTCGAGTCTTGGCTGCATCCCAGCTGAATCACCATCAATCCTGCTCCTCGGACGAACTTGGGACAATGTGCGTGCTGCACTGTTCTTCCTGCGAAACATGCTGTTGTGGAGGTATAAAGAGCAGCTTCATGGCTGCCACTGCTGCATCTTCTTCTCGGCAGACTGCAGCAGGCCTTCTCTCTTCTCCAGTGCGCGGGGAACGATCCGATCCGTAACCTAGTCTAACACCATGGCTCCCAAGTCCCTCTTCTATTCTCTCTTCTCCACCCTCAGCGTCGCTTTAGCGTCGTCCATTCCCCAGACAGACTACGATGTCATTGTCGTGGGAGGAGGTCCCGCAGGCCTCAGTGTCCTGAGCAGTCTCGGGCGCATGAGACGGAGGACTGTGATGTTTGACTCGGGAGAGTACCGCAATAGTGTTACGCGTGAGATGCACGATGTGCTTGGCTTTGATGGTAAGTTCTACCCGTCTACGTAAACTCTCTCAGTTCATATGAAGCAATACCTAATATCCACAGGCACCCCGCCTGCCCAATTCCGTGGCCTCGCCCGCCAGCAGATCTCCAAATACAACTCGACCAGCGTCATCGACATCAAGATCGACACCATCACCCCGATCGAGGACGCCGCAGCCAACAGCTCATACTTCCGCGCCGTCGACGCCAACGGCACTGAATACACCTCCCGCAAGGTAGTCCTGGGTACCGGACTGGTCGACGTGATCCCCGATGTTCCCGGTCTCCGCGAAGCCTGGGGCAAGGGCATCTGGTGGTGTCCCTGGTGCGACGGCTACGAGCACCGCGACGAGCCCCTAGGTATCCTAGGCAGTTTGACAGACGTGGTCGGCAGCGTCATGGAAACCCACACCCTGTACTCGGACATCATCGCCTTCACCAACGGCACCTACACACCCGCCAACGAAGTCGCCTTGGCAGCCAAGTACCCGAACTGGAAGGAGCAGCTCGAAGCCTGGAACATTGGTATTGACAACCGCTCCATTGCATCCATCGAGCGTCTCCAGGACGGCGACGACCACCGCGATGACACGGGCAGACAGTACGACATCTTCCGGGTCCATTTCACCGATGGTTCCAGCGTTGTACGCAACACCTTCATCACGAACTACCCCACCGCTCAGCGTTCCACTCTGCCCGAGGAGCTAAGCCTGGTCATGGTGGATAACAAGATCGACACGACAGACTACACGGGCATGCGCACCAGTCTGTCGGGCGTCTACGCCGTCGGTGACTGTAACAGTGATGGATCTACCAATGTTCCCCATGCTATGTTCAGCGGAAAGAGAGCCGGTGTCTACGTGCATGGTGAGTCTTTTGCCCAACCCTCCCGCTTTCATCACTTTTGTTTTTCTATCCCTTCCTACCATGAATCATTATATAAAAGCCAACTAACTAACAAACGCATAGTCGAAATGTCCCGCGAAGAGTCCAACGCCGCCATCTCCAAGCGCGACTTCGACAGACGCGCCCTGGAGAAGCAGACCGAGCGCATGGTCGGCAACGAGATGGAGGATCTCTGGAAGCGCGTGCTGGACAACCACCAGCGCCGCCGGTCCTGAATCATACATATAATCTACTAGTACTAATGTCCTGTTCATGATTGAACGACACAACTAACCACTACTATGATATATATATGTAACCAACTTTTAACGTCACCTCCATGATCGCATGTCGGAGCGGGAGTGACACATATTAATACTTTCACCAATAAGCAAAATACATACATAGTTACTTTCAGTACCGACTAGTAAAATAATATCCTCATTTATATAGTATCGAATAGTACCTAATTTATCTGATGAAGTCAAGTTTGTTGCATTCTTACTTAAGCATGGAGTTGCGTAGCTGGACCCCCCAAATCAATAAGTTCCTTTACCCGCTTCAGCTTCACCATCCGTCTGAAA